ACACAGGTCATAATCATGAAAATTAAGTGTTCTTTCACATACTTCCCAAGGAGGAAGTGTCCCTTACGGCTGACTCTAAGGATGTAACAGACTCAATGAGCTACAGACAACTGAATCCAATTTGTGTAAACAGAGATCACTTAGAAGTTCTTAGCTTTATATCCCAGCCTGTGTTTTGAATCTACTGATAAATTACTGTATCTGAGAGCAATTCCCTGAGCAGTCGCATGCCAGACTTTCATCACCGACCCTTTGCCCTTGCACTTAGCTTCAATGCAAGGCTAAGCTCATTTTGTCATCCCTCCTCCATTCTTTTGGAAAATTTCAGAAGGCACCCGTGACTTAGGACTTGGGTTTGATATTTGGATATGGACTTTTCTGAGAGAAATTGATAAAAACAGACTAATAACTGTGAAGACTAACCCAGAAATTGTAGGAAGAACAAATGCATATCAGATAATGTGTGGAATTAGTTTTTAAAATATTTAAGTATTATTATACATCCAATCCTAATGGTGAATTTTCTATATAAGAAGTCATTACATTACTGGGGTAATTTGTCTTTAACCCTAAAGATATTATTGTTCGTGCATTGGCATTTACTTCCTGAGTATCTAGGAAGCTGCAATCCTCATTTTGACATTTACTTTTTGTTTTTTTTCTTACTGTGGTGTTGTGGCATATATTTTTAATTCCTCCACTCAGGAGGGAGAAACAGTTGGGTTTCTGAGAGTTCTAGGCCAGCCTGGTCTACAGAGCAAGTTTCAGGACAGTCAGGACTACAAAGAGAAACCCTATCTTGAAACACAACAACAACAACAACAACAAAATAGTTGTGGGTATGATATGAGTGTGGAGGTGGATGTGCATGTGCAATGATCAGGAAGTTAGAGGCCCATAGTAGAGTTAGTTATCATTTTCGCCTGTATGTGGGTTCCAGGGATTGAACTCAAGTTATCAAGATATTTGCCCAATAAGTCTCTTTACCAACTAAAGCACCTTGATAGTCTTGATTTTTAAGGCAGTCTTTCTCTTTGGTCCAGGTGGACTTGGCTCAATCTTCCTATACGAGTTTCCCAAGTGCTGAGATTGCAGGAAGCATGAGCCATCATCATGCCCTCCTTATATTGCTGTTCGTCTTGGACCTGGTGGCAGTCAATATTCCCAGGTATTTTGTTATGAACATGTTAAGTGAAAAAAAAAGGTTTATTAAATTATGTCTGGGGTCTGGGAATGTATTTGTAGAGTATTTGTTAAGCATAGAGGTGACCCTTTTTGGTCTCCAGCAACCTATAGAACCTGTAGCATTGGTACTTACCTGTGATCCCAAGACTTAGGAAGGGAAGGCAGGGGCTGAGGATTCAAGGTTCTTTTCAGCTACCGAACTAGTTTGAGGTCAGCCAGGCAATATGAGACGTTAAAGAAATTGCTTTTGCTGAATCCTTTCATCACCAAAGCTTACACTTGCATATTTTCAAATCAAAAAAATGAAAACTCCTCATCTTTTTTTCACACTAAGAAGTTGTATTGTAATACTATTTTGCAGTTTTCTGAAACCCAGCAGAAGTAAACATGAGTACTGTTCTTCTGTTGATGCAGTGTAGAGTGAATGAAAGGAACTTAAGTGAGCTAGATGGCCAGCAATTCAAAAACCTTGGTACCAACAGTCTTTAAACATTACATGACACATGGCCAGGCACGAGATACAGGCACCTTAAATGGGCCACATGGGGAAAGTACTGAATAGACAATGCAAGGGAGACTGAGCTGCACAGTGGAAAAACCAAAGCCAAAAGACATGCTGAAGTGTATGAGGGTGCAGGCCTTTGTTTCAGAAGGGTAGTCACTTCCTCATCACCATGCCTTCTCCAGGCAGACCAAACAAACTGCAGGTTACAATATTAACACTCTTCCATAATTCGGTGCCCTTGACTGTAGGGCATGCTGTTCCTAGATCACCTTCACCCATTTTCACCTTGGTGAATTTCCATTATTTCTCCATGATTCACCTGGAACAATCCCCATACGGAAACCCCCTTCGCTTTCTCTCTGTTTCAACAGCGCACTGTCTATACTCATATTACAACAACTACTCCATTGATTATTGAAACTGCCTATTTGCTGGGATTGTCCTCTTGAAGCCAGGGGCCATGGTTCCTCATCCTCACATTCCTAGTATCACATACAGTGCCTGGCACTTTAGAAACACAGAAAACAATGTTTGCTTGTGTTTCAATAAAGGCTGTGCTTATAGCAGTGAGACCAAATGGCTAACAATACTGACAAAGGAATATTATTTGGGAGTGTCATAAATTAAGAAATAAGGTTTGATTATCTGTGATCTAAAATAAGTGAATGTTACAGATGACATCCAACTTAAGAGCTTAAGCCATGTTAATATGTTTAAAATGGGAGCAAAATAAATAGGGATCACTGTTTTGTTTTTAGTGTTGTACTTTGCAAAGACTATATTGCAATACTATTCCCTCCCCCAACTGCCTTTTCTCATTTCTTCTTTCACATCTGTGGACTCTGCTTTTTCCTAACTAGCACTTGTGGTGTAAAATTTAAAAAATATTATAAGATAGGTGGTAGAAAATGAAAGAAAGGAAAGTAAATAGCTTGGATGAAAGTTACCTGAAAAATCAGCTATTAGGAACTTATCTGTCTTAGAATAAATAAAGCTGATGAACGTGTCAAAAATTACAATGTAAATGAAGAATGTTTCATTAAAATTTTTATATAATAATAAGAAAAAATAGAAAAACATAAAACGCCATGGTTCAATATTAAAACACAGTGAGAACACAATGGTAAAGACATCTACTGATGCAAATGAGCAGACAGACTAGAATAAAAGGAGGATACAAATTCTTGTCAAGGAAGATGGACAACAAAAGCCAGCATGTTAGATGGCCTTAGAATATCTGTGAAATAGAAAGGCTTACTTAAAATGGGCAAAATGCTGTATTAAAGGGTATAAATATGCAGGTTGATGTTCAAACTTGAGTTGAAATACACAAAGGTTTTCATTCCCACACATCTTCATATATATTTCTATGGTTCCGATACCAATGCAAGTGGATATTTAATATGCAATAAAATCTAAGATATTCTGAGAGATCCCAGAATAAGAGAGTATCTTATAAGAGGTATCCCATGCTGATCACACCCAGATGTACTTCTAGTGTGAACTAGCAGGAGCAGTTAGATTGGCTGCTAAGGAGATTCTAGAACAGGAACAAAAGTAACAGTCAGGGGTGAAGACTATACTTATCTATGGGTTTAATGACAAATACTTGTAAATTGTTGTTGAAGGATTATGCAAGTTTAGTGGATTAGAGGTTGCAGATTCTCCTCCAATAACAATGACTTCATGACACGTGGAGGTAGCTAGGCTTCAGAACCAGGCATGCTTTCCCTCTTGTTGAGCAGATCTTACATATAATTAGAGAGATTTTGTTTACCAGTGTGGTACACATGCTACTACTGCACCCTGAGGGTTACTGTGCCATGGTGGTTGCTAATGTGGATTATAGACACCATAGCTGAATAGGACTATTGGCTACATCTTTCCTTTGCAACAGATGGAGATTGCTACAGAAAAACACAACCAATAAAAATGCACATTTTTAGAGCCCAGTCCCCGTGGAATCATCTAGAAATTACACCTGCACCTAAGGCTTTGGAAGCATTGCAGCAGAGGTGGAGACATTTCAAGACTCAGAGGACCAAGGATTTTGTTATGAGATTCTGTATCCTGGTAATATCAGAAAATACACCCATAAAACCACCATCATGCCAGGTGGTGGTGATGCAACCCTTTAATCCCAGCACTCAGGAGGCAGATTTCTGTGAGTTTGGGGCCAGCCTGATCTACAGAGTGAATTTCAGGACAGGCTCCAAAGCTACACAGGGAAACCCTGTCTTGCAAAAAACAGGAAAAAAAAAAACTCATCAGCACGACATAACAAGGATTTCACCAATGGATATGTCAAAGTTGATGGGGAAAAGCCCAGGAGGTATCAATCCTACACAAAGAACTATGTGTAACTGAGATAATCTGGGAAAAGAAATAGTCTTTCCCAGGGAAGAGCATGCCAAGTGGTTTTTCAGTGGCAAATGGTCATTCCTAGAAACACGCACATAAGCATCATTATACAGACTGAACATGTTGTATTTAGGAACACACACACACACTCATGTACATATATGTATGCAATGATAATTAGTGAAATAAAAGGCCATGTATTTGAAGGTGTGCATGTAGCGTAGACAGGAGGGTGAAATGCTATAATTACATAATAATCTCAAAAAAGTTAAAAAATGATCTGCTAGTAACAAAAACCAAAAGATATGCAAATGGTAGTGTTAGCAAGAGGACTCAACGGGTAAAGGTGCTTGTTATCAAGACTGACACCTTAAGTTCAATCCATGGGATCCACATGGTAAAAGAGAAAGACTGACTTTGGCAAAATGTCCTGACATCTACATGCACATTGTGGAACTCAGGCATGCAAGTGCATGCACATACACAAAATAATAAATGCATTTTTTTTAAAAAAAAAAAGGATGGTCAAATATCATAGGCAGCATAGAACAAGTGTCAGTCAAGAACTAGCTACCTAGTTTTTAATTGTTTTGATATTACCTGGTCTCCCTTTGTACTTCCTATAGCATTTGAGGAATGACTAAATATAGTGAAACTTCAAAGTATAAAACTTATAGAATTATGTAAGAAGAAAACTGGGTATTTGTTTTATAGAAATGAAGCAATATAAATTAGATGACATTTTACTGAGTTTTTAAAGTGCTGTTTGAAATTGAGCTTTTTCCTCCTGTTCTTTCTCTACCTCTTTTGTAGCCAGTGATATGAAAACAGTAGTAGACACAGTGGGCTTGAATCTGAAAGCTGGCAGAATAATAGAATACATTTGGCATACAATAAACTTTCATATAACCAAATGCTTAATATACTTATTTTAAAATTAAACTTAAAGTTTATTTTTTTTATTTTTATGAATTTGTGTGTCATCCTTGCACAGGGGCCATGCTAATCTTCTGTGTATCGTTTCAATTTTAGTATATGTGCTGCCGAAGCGAGCACTTAAAAATTTAAAAATTGTTATTTCCCTCAGTCTTAAGTCACTGACAGCTAGAATATAATAATCCTTAGTCCATTATTGAATTCACAATTCACCTGACCCCGTTGGAGTGTGCTAACTCCTTTCTCAGAGATCACATCCACGTACATTGACAACTTTATCTCTAGAACCCCCATTATGCAACAGGACCCATACACCTATAGATGTGTTTACTTGCCAAATTCCTTTAGGCTCTTTGGATCCCATACTCACCTTTAAAAAGTAATTTGATGTGTCCTATTTTCCATCTTCACTATAGTGGAAAAAGGAATGTGATGTGTGCTGAGAGTGGATCTTAAATCCCATTAACACTGCTTCACTCCCAGACTCTTCTTGCCTTTCCTACCTATACCTGTCTGTTCATCTTTACACACAAGTTTACCCTCATGAAATTCAAAGTTTGGGTAAGTCTTGAATGCCTGCCTTTTATCTAGGCTTTTCAAAGGCTCTTCTGACAACTGGTTGGGTGTCCAGCACCTTCTATTAACACTGGCGATATGAGTGAAGCTAAGTTCATAGTATAGGATTCTCTTATAGAAGCACGATTAACATGTAAGGATGGTGTCACTGGAGGAAGGTCTTGACATGTACATGATACTAATGTCACCATCTTAACTGATGAATGTGGCCTGACTGTTTAGAGATCATGGAGCTAAGCCCCCACAGAACTGGTACAGTGCCACATTAAAAGGGTGCCATGGATCCCTGCTGGAAAGGTCACCCTCCTCCCAATGCCCACAGAACTACTCCCTCCCACTATTCATGGGATGTTAGAACGTGGGTGAAGTTTAAATAGTGGAGCAGGTATTTTGTAAAAAATGGGCATTTGCTCAATTCAGTCTGTATTTTTGAATATTTTAGTTTCTAGGTATCTTATCACACTCTCTTAAAAACATCATTTAAAAAGTGCACACACAATCTGTGCACCCTACACTTGGGACTGCCAGTGAGTTATGAAAATTTTAGCTTCTGTAAATGGCGAACTAAGAAAGAAAACATAAGTCCCAGAAGCAGAAAAATAGAAGCTAACAGAATGGGAAGATTTGGCACTGTCAATCAACAGCACAGGATCTGAGCCAGAGCTCCTCAAAAACCTCTGAACCGTTTCTAAAACAGCACAAACTGTTGGTTTCATTCCCTTGGATTCCTGAAATTTGCTGAGACCTCAAAATAAATGATTTCCTTCCATTAATTTTCTATAAATCAGCAGGGGGATTTATAACTCAAATTCATGGTTAAGAAAATATGATTTATAACCAAATCTACAAGTAGGTTAAAATCTAATTTAAAAATATTTTTATTGTAGCATAACCAGGAAGATGGAATGGCATGGAATAATGCAAAGAAGGTGGTGCATTAGTTCTGTGACTCTTTAATTCTATCTCTTCAATAATTTGTTAAAAAAATTCTATTCTACGTTTACCTGATCTAATGGGAACTCACCAACTCCATCTGGACAGGGAAGGAAGCAGCATATGACCAAAGTAGACCTTATAAATGTGGGTGACAGTTGTACAGCTGGGGCAGACAGCAGGGCCACTGGCAGGGGCACCAGAATTTACCCCTACTGTTTGTGCTGACTTTTTGGAAGCCATTCTCTTTGGATGGATACGTTGCTCAGTCTAGATATAGTGGGGAGGGCCTTGATCCTTTCTTGGAGTAATGTGCCTTGCCCTTTCTGGGGGAGTGGATGGGGGGTTGGATCGGAGGAGGAGAGGGAGTGGGAACTGGGATTGGTATGTGAAATAAAAAGCGATTGATTTTTTAAAAAATAAAATCAAAAACTTAAAAAAATTCTAGGAAGAGCTCCAAGTTTCCAAAATTTGTTAGTTCTTCTCAACCTTTCCTAATTGAAAAGAAGCTGTTGACAGATTTGTCACTCATAAAAAAGCAAACTTCATTTATTGCTTGAATTTCAGAAAATGTAACTAACCAATAATTGAACTTACATACCAACCAGCAACAAATTTTATAAGTATTTTACGTCTTTGAATACACACTATGTAACTTTTCCTGGAGAAATATAAATAAATGTCCATCATTAGAGGACACTGATGTCTAACTTCGTCAATCAATGAGTCCATTGTGGTTACTAACAAAATCACAGTGGCCTGAAGGCAGTACCTCAAACCCACGCTAGCATGGTTGACAGCCCACAAATCTCCATTTCCTGTACAGCTTGCAGACAGCTTGGTGGATGCATCTCTTTTGCCCAGCAAATGTTGCTTATATACTTAGGGGAGGCATCTTGCGAACCTTGGAACTTTCAGGAGCTTTCCGAGTCCTGCATGTTTCATTTACGCCCTGAGTCGCATAAGCCTTTTTCTAACTGTTCATACTGTTCTCACTGCCCTGGCATTTGTAAGCTCAATCTTTTGAGCTACTCAGAAGACAGAATCACAATTAGATGCAGAAGTGATGGTTCCTAACACTGCATGTCTTGAGGGATGACATTCAGAGGAACCTCAGGATAAATCATTGTTGACTAGAATGTCACTTGCATTTTATTTACCAATGTCTTTAAGTCTAAATGTTCCCATTTTGGTCTAAAAGCAAGGAACTGCATGTACTTTTAGACAAAATTCTGAAAAAAAAACCTGAAGCATAATTTTCAGGAAACGATTGAATGCATGTTTCCAATAGGTTAGAGACTCTATTACACACACTCAGCATTCTATGCTCCTAACAGCATAATAGTTCCTGCAACTAAAAGATTTCTATTTGCCTGAAGGATGTCAATAACAGAACTCTTCTTGGTTGCTGGAATTTTTAAAATTTATTATTCTTTTAAACAGAAATCTTATCCTAATATTGGAACTAAGGAATCGTGGTTCGACAGAGCTATCATTTGAAACTAGGTAACTAATACTGATTCAGCGAAACCTAAGTCAATTCTGCTCATTGCAATGGAGAATTATCACTTACACAAAATAGGATCTGAAAAAATAAAAAAATAACATTATTGTAGAAGTAGGAATGTAACACATATCAGTGGAAAATTCTGTATTGATTCACAAATATAATCCTCTGTGATATCAGAAAGTGCTCTAACTCATAAGATAATATATTATGGACTTACATTAACATACTTTTATTCAAAATTATAGTAGGATTTTGCATGTAATTGTGATTCGTCATTTTGAACAGGGATTATAGTCTAAGAACTTTTGTTTTATTATACCATTTAGATTTTCAGACAACAATTTGAATTCTTCACAGCAGATATCTGAATCATCTCTAAGAAAGGATGAGATAAAACTATCATGTGCCTTTTAATTTGCATAATTAAAAAATATTACCCACATTGTGCTACCATCTATTAGTAAATTCCTAAATTCATTCCACAAACACCCAAGCAGCTGGAAACCCAGAACAGTTTGGAGTTTTCAGCTAAATAATGGTGTGGAAGGTTTGACTGTGTGAAATTCAAAAACTTCTTACTAAAATATATCAAAAAAATTATCTATGTCTACCAAAAATATGAGCAGCATATTTACACGCAACAAACTTCTTTAGTAGCTTGCTGACGTGGTCTTCTCAAAAGCTGAAAAAGAAATTCTCTAAGGCATATTTTAAGGGGGTTTCAGCCACAGAATTCCTGTAATTTCCTACTTTAACTTACAAGATTTGAAAGTTTTCTCCTTCATATGATTATTGATGATGGTACACATTGTCAAATTTGTCACTTACAAACTTGAATTACTTTCAGCAGAAAGAATAAAAAAAATGAATTAGTTATACTTTCAATAAAACAAATTGTTAAATTATTACTCAAGGTTGTTTTTCAGCCTACTTTGGTTCTTCTTTGAGAAGCTAGGGTGGAATGAGGAGTCCTGGAGAGCAGATCTTCATCATGAGTCACATACCTGTCTCAAGGCACTACCGTTCTCAACCCTTTTATTTATGTGGAATAGTTCAATTTTCTTAGTAGTTTAGGATTTAGTGAGAGACTGAGATTTGAGGGAGGTGTCTAGTTTCTTTCAAGTTAATTAATAGTGTTCTTTCCAACTCAAACATGAGCTCTTTCCAACTGGGTTATCAAAATCCTTGCCTTCTGCTACTGGTGGGATACTACAAAGACAAAGTTATTGACTTAGAAGGGAAAATACCAATTGTCATTTGATGAAACTAGCTACAGAGCACTTGCTGTCACAGACTTCCTTAAAAGTAAGTGAACAAACATTTTTTTGAAAAATTTACTTCATGAGAAAAGTTGGCCTAAATATAGATAATTTGAAGTCAGCCTGTTTACTAAAACTAGCTAATAGTCTTCCTGGGAGTCTAGGGTAGGGGTTGTGTAGAGAACAACAGTAACAATAACAATAATAAAAGACAAAATAAAAAAGAAATGATAATTAAGAATTGCACTTAACATTCTTAGTTCTGGGATATAATTTAAAGATTAATGTTGATGTACTTGAAATAATACATCCCTGAATTTAATTTTTATTAAATATATTTTCACATTTAATACATTTTTTTCACACCCATATACACATACAAAAGTAGGGAGGCCTTAGAAACATGTTTATATCTAAATATACCTATATATAATACTGTGAAATAAAATCTGAATAAAAATTTTATTCCAACAACATTGCTCTATTTTCAATTTTGTTTATTGTTTTAAGTCTTTTTTTAAATCACAGTGGAAATTAACTTATGCTTTATTCATCCAGTTAGTGCCTATTGTCAACTTCATCAAATGCCAACACGTAGAATCAACTCATTCATACACTCTATTTCCTGTGACCATCCCACCATTCATTGCCTGTCTTTTTTCCTTTTAACGGCAATATTGTGATAAGATTGTGAAAAGGTGGAACTAACAGGTATATATATACCATTTCTTCAAGTATCCAGAAAGCAGTACATTTTATGCATTGTGCATTAGAAAACTACTGATGATATTACTTCTAAGTATATGAGAGTGGCTCCTGGTGGGAGTGTCATAAAGTTGTAT